TATAGCTACTAAATTATTATTTATATAATTTAATAAGAGTAAAATAGAGTACTAATTATGCCAACTTTGATTGGGATGAGGTTCGAACCTAAGACCTTTTTTTTTTTTATTGAAATCAATGAGTAAGTTAACGGTGAACTAACGGCAATTCTTAAAATTTTAACGGAATTAGTAACGATGTGTGGGTATTTTAAGAAATTTTAGTGTAAAATTTAAATCTTATCAATCTTTTAATCAATCTGAGCCATTCATTTGATTAAAATCTGTGACCGCCATTTTTTCTACCCATTATAGGCCTAACTCTCTTGGGCTCTTATTAGTATAGTAGATAAAGATTTGAACGGGAATGGGCTAGTCCAATTAAATTTCTAATTGGGTTGGGCTACGCCAAATAGTATATTAAAAAAACAAGGCAAATTATGTTGTGCATCCGTATGCACCATGCATGGTGCATACGTGCATACGGATGCAAAAACGACGTCGTTTTGCATCAAAACATGCGTCCTACTTTTAAAAAAAAAAAAAAAATCAGCTTCGATTCTCAGCAACAACATTATGTTATTCATTTTTTAGTTCATTCATTCTGGATTTTTAATTATGAAATTTTGGATGTATAGTTATGCAATTCTTGATGTATAGTTATGCAATTCTGGATGTGTAGTTATGAAGTTATGGATGTGTAGTTATGCAATTCTGGACTTATAGTTATGAAGTTATGGATGTGTAGTTATGCAATTCTGGACTTATAGTTATGAAGTTATGAATGTGTAGTTATTTAATTCTGGGTTTATAGTTATGAAATTATGGATGTGTAGTTATGTAATTATGGATGTATAGTTATGAAATTATGGATGTGATGAAATTATGGATGTGTAGTTATGCAATTATGAATTTTTCTTTTTTTAAGTTAGACGTCAAAACAACGTCGTTTTTGCATTAGGATGCACCATGCATGCATACGGATGCACAGCATAACGATCCAAAATAACAGAGCCTAACTTGGCCCACAACCCAAAAAATTATATTTTAAGTTTTTACTTATCAACATTGTTGCAAAAATTACGCATAGGCACCGATTAATCGGTGCTTAGGCGCTAAGCGCTGGGCCACAACCCAAAAAATTAGATTTTAAGTTTTTACTTATCAACATTGTTGCAAAAATTACACATAGGCACCGATTAATCGGTGCCTAGGCGCTAGGCGCTGGATGGCTGCCTAGAATTTCAGCGTAATTAGTATTCTAGGCGACCTAGGCAATCGATTAGCTATTGTTCCATTTTTTAAATTGATTATTTTGCTCAAAACAACGTCATTTTAAGCGAAATAACCTAAATCGTTTAAACCGATCACAAACCTTAAAAAATGTAAAAATTAAAATTAAAAATTAAAATCAACTACTCTAATATTGATACTTTGTAATTGTGACTTTGTGGAACTCTGTTTTGATTCTTTAAATGTTTATACAATTACAATTCTATATGTTTTTTTAGGTTAATATTTAATATTAATGCTCCCCATACATGCAAAAATTACATGAGTGTATATGGTTTTTCAAAGATGTAGAAACGTCCTGTGCTGGGATAGACCAGAAGAGAGGTGGATTGCGGTGAACTTCGATGGTCTGCAACACGCAAAGGAAAGCTGCTAGCTGTGGGGGGCTTCTTAGGGATGATCATGGCATTTGGATTGCAGGGCTTCAAAGAAACCTTGGAGAATGCAGCGCGAATAAAGCGGAAGCCTGGGCAATTCTCCTAGGACTCAAAGTGGCTTGGCAACTTGGTTTCACTAAGATCATCATTCTCAGCGACTTTGCTAATGTTATCGCTGAGTGGAGGACCCTTCTTACGATACTAGCTGTGGTGGTTCTTTGAACAATATTATTGCAGAGTGCAAAAGATGGAAGAGGAGGAACTGGAGCGTCAACTATCGCCACGTCTTAAGGGAACAAAACCAAGCTGCCGACTGGCTTGCGAAGAACCAAGGTTCGGGGGTATAACCTTGTTTTGTTGTCTTCCTGCCCTCCCGGCTTTCTTGAGCATTTGTTCTAGAAAGATGCTAGGGGGTGCCTTTTGTTCATGGGGATTAATCCTTTTTGTTTTGTTTTGTTTTGTTTTTTAATTTTTTCAGGGCTTTGCCCTTCCTTTTTCCTCAAAAAGATGTAGAACCTTTGTATTATTCTGTTACCAAGAAGAAAAAAAAAAGAAAATTTTAAGTGGTTAACAACATCTTTTTTAATGTCATTTAAACATATTTATTGACGTAGGACAAAAAATGGTTATGTTACAATAATGCTAGGACCAACGGAAATGTTTAAAAAAAATGATTACAAATTGAATGACACCAAGGTTGGACTCCCATATGGGAGGTCGTGGGTTCGAGCCTCAGTGAATGCGACATTAACTCTTTGTGCTTCATTAGGTTGAGAAAATAGTTTATGAACAAATACTACATTGTAATAGAGTCAGTAACATTCAAAAAAATAAAAATGGAATGACACATTAATATAGGACCAAAAAAGGAAATAGGACCAAAAAAGGAAAAGGAATTAACACTTAGACTGAATATAAAACGCCCATGTATTTAACGCCATTTAAAAGATTTTGTTGATAGAGGATAAAAATGGTCATGCCACAATAATATTATGACCAAAAGAATGTTTTGAAAAAGAACTAAAAATGAGCTAATACTTAAAATTTAGGACCTTGTGTTGATAGAAGATAAAAAATAATCATGCCACAATAATACTATGATCAAAGGGAATGTTTTGAAAAAAGAGTTGATACTTAAAATCTAGGACAAAAAAATGAAATTAACTTAAAAATGAGTGAGTTTTGTAGGGGCATCTAACATTGTTTTAGAAAAATTATGAAGTAAAATAAGAGTTACATGTGTGATTTTATTAATAAAAAAAAATTAATAAAAACTATACTACTCCGTATTTTATAAGGAACAAATACCAAATTTAGTCCCATAAGTATTAACAAAATAACAATTTTGGTCAATATGTTTAATTCCTATCTATTTCCTATCAATATCATCTTTGACCGTTGGACTTCTGCCTGTTGAATTTCTGCCCGTTGGATTCCTCTTGAGTGTTTCCGGGTGAGGTGTTTGTTGGTGGTCCGAGTCGGGTGCTTGACCCATTACTCTGTCACCAGCCCCCTACTCCCGAGTCTGCAGATGTGCATGAGCTGGTTTGGGAGTAAAATTGCATCAAGATCCTCCTTTTTTTTTTCTTAACCGAAGCCACTGAGGCGCGATCTCGGCTCGGGATTCGGCCAGTTTTGGCCGAGGCGGACCTCGGCCGATTTTGGTCGAGGCGGACTCGACCAGTTTGGATGAGGCGGACCTTGGCCAATTTTGGCCGAGGTGGACCTCGGCCAGTTTTGACCGAGGCGGAGCTCGGCCGATTTTGGCCGAGGCGGACTCGACAATTTTTTATTTTTTTAAATTTTTTTTGTCTCTGTGTGTGTTTGTAGCTTACTTCGACCGACTGTAGGCTCGGTTAAAGGTCAGCTCTTCCGTAGAGTAGTGAGCGAGATTAGACCTCGTACTATTCCTTAGGGAATAGCGTTTTCGTAACCAAACTTTGAGTTTGACCAAGAAACGCCCTTCCGTCGGGTAGATAGCTGGACCGAATCCAGTGTCGGCCCTTAGGGAGTTGAGTGCGGTAATTACCAATTTTTTCTCAGTTTTTCTTTGCATTCTTTCGACTAAGGCTGACTCATCAGGGTGCCGGCGTGGGGCCGTCTGATCAAAGTGTCGGTGCGCGGCCGGCTCATCCAAGTGCCGGCGCGCGACCGTCTCACCAAAGTGCCACCGCGCAGCTGGCTCATCAAAGTGGCGCCGCGCGGCCGGCAATTTGGCCGGATCATCAAAGTGCCGACGCGCTCCCGGCTCATCCGATTCGCCCATTTTCTCAGTGAGTGATTTCTGTGCTACTCTACTTTCGTGTCGGATAGGCCTCTGGTGGACGACGCCTCGGCCCGTGATCCCAACCTTTGATGCGTGGGCGCCCTCTGTCCCAATCGTTCCAGGGCAGATTGGGACGGGCCTGGTCGCCGTCTGACCGGTCTACTTCTTTGGGCGCCCTCCTCTGGACCCCTTATCCTGGTGTGACGTCATGCGTCCCTCGCCGCGCGGGTTGTGTCCTGTTGTTGTTGGATTTCTATCCTTTGTGGGGATTCCACCTCTACTCTTTGGGCCCGCGGTAGGGGCACTTGGCCTTGCAATCCCGCCACTACCTGAGTTAGTGCGGTCGCCGCCTGCTGGATGGCTTCGGCGGTTGCCTAGTGGTTCATGATTTGGACAGATGCCCCTGCCCTTCCATTGTTGAGTTGCTCTCAAAGGTCCCCAGCTCTTCCGCTATTGAGTTGTTCTCTGAGGTTTCCTCCGCGGTTACTATTGAGTTGGTCTCGAAGATCAGTTGAGGCGTTGCCATTGTTCAAGTTGCGAGAACCGTGGGAGTTGCTAGATCCTGAGCGTGCCATTGCTGCCAGCTTGTTGATGAGAGAGCAAGTGTGTAGTCACCTGCTTGACCTCGGGCTCTCAATGAAAGCACCAATGACGATAAGTATGTAACCGGAAATATAATATAAGAATAACGAATCGTATTGCCTCAGTATTTCAGTACAGAATATTCAGCGTGTGTTTGCTCAGCAATGGACCTTCTACTTATACTAAGTTCCCAACCGTAAGTAACAGTAGTATGATGAGGAGCCGAGCAATTATTTCTCTGTGTTGAATGAGCGTAGTAAATGGTCTGTAATAACCATCTTTGTCTGTTGGGCTCCTGCCCGTTAGATTTCTGCCTGTTGAATTCCTCTTAAATGTTTCCGGGTCAAGTGTTTATTGGTGGTTCGAGTCGGGTGCTTGACCAATTACTATGTCAAACAATCATAAACAATGCTATAGTAAAAAGTATAAAATAAAGTGTACAATTAATTAAAAAGAAATGTAAATACTAAATACAGAGTAACATTGTGAGGGAAAGAGACTTATATTTTTTTTTTCAATTGTGTTTAGTGTTTTCAGATCAACCCACAAATGTGGGGGCAGAAGAGGAAAGCGAGTGTGCAAAATCCTCAGAATTAGGTTGAAAGAGTGCGCATCCTTAAATGCTCCCATTTCCAGAATTGAATTGACTTGAATTTACAGTTGTTGTATTTATATGGTAATGAGATGTCAGAAAACGAAGATTTTAACGACACCGAAGCAGAAGCGGAGCTCAGCGATGAGCAGAAGGTGGAGATTGCCAAATGGTTCCTCCTTAACTCCCCCGCCGGCGAAATTCAATACGTTGCCAAAGGTAACGACTTCCTTCTCTCTGTTAATTTCTACTTCTTTTCAATTTTAGAAATTTAATTGCGTTTTTAGTTTTGATTTTTTTAAAGTTTCTTGAGTTTCAGATATTCGAGCAGTGTTGAACGATGAGAATGTGTATACGATGGCGGCTGAAGAGGCATTTCCCTTGTACAACAAGTCGCACTTGATTTGCCTCCAATTGCCCAACCGAGCTGGAGATGTTAGTCCCTTTTTCCCTCGCTTTTCGTTTTTTTTTTTTTTTTTTTTTTCTTTTTTGATTTCTGAAATGTTGTTCTTCTGACTGTCATTTTAGGTACTGTGAACTGTTGGATTTCAGTTTTTGTACTTTTGATTTGTATGCACAATCTTGTTTACCCAATGATCAATCCACAAGGCTAGGAATCAAGGGGTTCAAAAGATAATGTTGAAATTATTGCTTAAGTAAATCACCAGCATATGAATGTATGTCTTAATTTTTATCACAAGTTCAATTTCATTTCACATTTCAAATATGAACTTAGTTATTAATTAATCATAATTTAAAATAGTTCTTTTTTTCTTTCCATTTTTGGTCCCTAATGGTTTCGGTTATAGTGGTCTTTGTCCATTCTTCAATCTCCACTTTGCCCATTCTTGGACTGGACTACATTAGCAGTTAACTAAGTTAGTGATGGAGTTACAATTATGAGAATACTTTGTAAACAATGAAAGTGTTGACTAGGCAATTACAAACTTGAGAGGCAAGATTGTCAAAATCGGACATTAGGGACCAAAAATGGTAAAACCCATTTAACACTTACATTGTACTCAACCATAGCTACTCCTTCCCTTCCCATAGCTACTGCTTTGATTACTACTTCGTTATGGATCATTCTACCCAAAATGGCAAAATCTAAAGTTGGGGCAGAAGAACATTTTGTACTTGATGACCTGCAGTCTGTAATGGACTTCTAGAACTTTTACTAATAAGATGGAAGTATGAGGGTAAGAAAGAATGCTGTATGAACATTTTTCCTTATTGAATAACAACGGCTGAAAGGCATAATCAATAAGTTTATCGAAATTATAGATAAGCTGTGTTTTGTCTTTAATTTGGTATCTTTCAGGTCAGTCTTATTGAATCTTAAGTTGGATCACCTCCTCTGTTAACATAGATATAAAGCAGCCACAGATTGTTGCAATTTTATGTTGAATTCTCTTGACTGTCATGTGTGCAGGTGTTGATTACATCATTTGGAGAGATTAGTAAAAATGAGTATATTGATCCTAGGACTGCCAATGTTGCAATAGTTGACCATGTCAAACAAGTGAGTACTTTTTCTTCTCTTAAATTATCTTGGAATTTCAAATGTGAATGTATTTTGATCTGTTCTTGAAGTTTATTCTCAGTTTTGAAACTTATTTTTCAAGATCTGTTCTTGAAGTTTATTCTCAGTAATTGCATATGTTGCAAAGTCTTCACACTAAATTTTCGAAGGACAGCTTGCATGTGATAGAGTATGAATAAATTTCATGTTATTTAATTCTAAGCTTTTATTATTTTATGCATTGTTGTTGGGAGGCCAATTGGTCATGTGATGCAGATTGGGGTATGGGACATTTTCCAAAGTGGCTTCATGAGACATTTGGTACTTGTGATTTAAAATTACACTTTCTTTCATAAACTAATAAATAGGTTACGTGTTACCTTGTATTTTGATTACTTCATTTTTCCACTCTTCTGTGTATTACTTAATCTTGCCTTCCTTTGGGTGACGAAGGAAACCCACAGCCACTACCTGAGGGTGTGCACTGGGTAAACCTCGCGTTGTGACCCTAGCCGGCAAAGGACGACAAGGAGGTAAACCAACCTAGGTTGCCCATAGCTGATTGGCTTAAACCAAGAGGGCTAGGATTCAAAGTCATGACCTTGTGGTTACAAGTTTGTATCCTTAGCCATTTTTGTTGAGATTACCCCCAACCTTGACTTCCTTATTTTATGGCAGTGTGCTTTTGACTGCATGATAAGCTTTAGTTTCAGAATTATGGCCAAGAACGGTTCTGCATTGTTGTACTGCATGATCTTTTATGTACTGCAGTTTAGTGGATACATTATTTTAGCTGTAGTCTGTTGTAGTGCAGGACAGGGGAATATGGAATTATGCTTTATTGATCTAGTGATTTTATTATTATGCATCCCTCTACAGATTACTCAATGCATGATTATAGCTGTAATCTATTGTAACCCTGGACAGGTAAATTAATAGCATGCATGTGAATGTGGACACTGGGTTGAAATTTATAAATTGCTTATGTGGCCAATTCTTTAGAATGAACATGCTATCACAAAAATGTTATGGAACTGGTTGGTATATGGCTATATGCCCCTTTTGCACAATTGAAGATGCAAAAGTGAAGGGTGAAATGTATATTTGCCACATGGTCATTAATTAAAAATTGCCATAGTGGTGGATGTGGAGTGAGCATAGCTATTGTACCTTCAAGTAACAAGTTCATTATCAAACTTATGTCCCCTTAACTCAGAACATGCAATTTATGATTTCATCCTTTTCTCCTTCAATAATACTCATAAAGCATTGTTACCAACATGCATTACTGTTTTAATTACATCATGTGCTGTAACTTCTTCAGGTATGTAAAGAGGTTAGACCAGCAAGTGATGAGGAACTTCCATCAGCATATGTTGAAGATTATCGGTAATGCTGTGTAACTGTTTGATATCTACTACTACTGAATCATTGTAATTAAGTCACTTCCATTCATGAGGTTAAAATTTGCTTTGCATACTGTTCATCCAGAGGATATAGCATTAAGTACAGATAAATTAAAATGAGTTAAGCACACTATGCAGGCTGCTCTGCATGTATTATTATTTGAGTAGATGATGCACTAGTGGCACTTCTATACCCCATTGCTTCTTCACTTCTTGTTAATCAAACTGCAGTTTTCTTTTTCATTTGCCAAATTTCATCTGATTTCACTCTTTGTTTGGCAGATGTGCCTTGGAAGCAGAAGCAACGAAGTATGTCAGTGAAGCATATCCAAAAGGTGTCTGTGCAGTATACTGTACCAAAGGAAAGGACGTGGAAGAACAAGGATCTAACTTCGAGCTTGTTGTAGTGATTTCAGCTGCTAGACTCAGCCCTCAGAATTTTTGGTATGTCATAACTATCAAATCAAGTTCTACTAGTACTCTGCATTTTATCATCATTTCATCTTAATTTTTGTTTCTGCATTGTGGCCTGTTGTGACATTTCCAGACTATTTTCAATGTTTTGGTGATTTTTACAATTTTTATTCAACTTACTCTGTTGCTTCACAGTATTGCATGATGCAATCACAGTTGTATTTGAGTGTTTTGAATGCAATTCATTGGCATATATACTACTTTTCCAAACTAATTAGGGGATTTAAATATTTGATGGCCATTTTTTAGTAGCTATTGGTCTTAAGGTTTTAGGACTAGAGGACTTAGCTATATATAGTTAACACCATGGTATCCAGTTATTGTAATCAAGCTCCAAGTTATTATGATTTTATGAATGTAAAGTTTCAAACATTAATGTGCTGGAGACATACCACCTTCCTGGCAAATAGAAAAGATAATTTTTTTTCCTGAGTTTTTTTGGGTTGAAAATGTGAAAGCTTCTGACAAATAATCCTTATCTGTGCAACTTTATTATAGAAATGAAGTTCTTCAGCTAGATTGTCCTTTCCCTCTCCTTATTTGAAACATGAGGCTCCTATCCCTAAAATCATACTAGTGTTTCCTTGTCAATACTTTGGATTTATTACCTTTAATAGCTAATTGATTTCTTCTACATTCCACGATCCATTTCATCGGCTCCCTCTTAAGATGCATTTTGAATATCAATTGCACTAAATTTCCTGAGTAATTGATGTTTCTTTGAAGTTCCCTTAGCTGACTAATAATCAATGTTGTAAAAATCAATGTTGTAAAACTCAGCCTAGGCGCCCTTAGGCCAAGTCAATTTTGCCACTAATTGCCATTCTATTTGGCTGTCCGACACTCCGACTAATCAGCTGCCTCGGCCAATTAGTCGGCCAACTAGTCAGACAGATGGCCTATTTGGCCTTTTTTTAAAAATTTAATCGGGGTTGTTTCAGTCAAAAACGACGTAGACGTAGTTTTGAGCAAAACAACCCTAAAATCGGGTAAAGAAAAAATGAAGAGCAGACAACCAGACTAAATTGAACAGAAGAACAACCCTTCAAACCTCAGCCTTTACCAGTTTCGCCGACCACTGCACAGCTCACAGTGACCCCTTGTCCCCATCGTTGGTCACAATCGTAGAAGCAGCTTCGCTCGCCATCGCAATCTGGCATCACCTGTCGATGATTGTTGGTGAGACTGAGATGCCACCAACAGCCGATCGTCGCAGCTTAGATGCCATTGTCGCAATTGCTGATGACGCTGAGGTGCGGACGCCTTCAACAGTTGGTGACAACACTGAGTCACCACTCTATGGACGCCATCAATAGCCAAACACCAGAGTCGAAGTCGCCGCCAGAGGTTTTCGACTTTTTGTTTTGGCTTTGACTCTTCCCCTTCTCCTTTTGATTTTTTATATTAAAACCCTAGTCACTTGGACTTTTACCTTACCATGTTTTGGGCCCTTGGTTTTATTTTACACTAGGTCTTTATCTTGCAACTTCCAATCTTTGATTCTATTTTCAAGTTGGAACTAGGCATCCGCCTAGGCAGTGCCTAGTTGGCACCTAGCCAGCCTAGGCGCTAGGTGTCCATAAACCGCCCAATGGGCGCCTAACACATTTTACAACCTTGCTAATAATTTCACTAGGTAGGCTCAGACGCTCAGTCTCGTCTCCTTCTTTACTGCAAGTTAATAAAAGAATACCAAAAAAAAAAAAAAAAAAAAAAAAAAAAAAAAAAAAAAAAACCAAAACAAAACAAAAGAAGAAAAGAGAGAAAAACAAGTGCTACATTTTTTACATGTTAATTGCCAATCTTATTGCATAATATGTTTGACTTGTTTCTTAGTAGAATCTGATGTCTTTTAGCCTATTCTGTAGCAATGGTAGTTGGCGATCAATATGGAGTGTTGAGTTTAAAGATGAGGTACAAATGGTGGAAGTGAGAGGGAGAATGCAGGTATGGTTTTTTTTTTTTTTTTTTTCCTTTTCCTGCATTAATAATATTTCGACAGTTTCACTTTTTCATATGACAAATTAGCATTCTAATAAACGGATAGAATTTGGTTTCTACTACCAGTACCCAAGTATCAAAACCAAAAAACATTATCGGCCCTATTTGGTAAATGGCTGTTAGCTGGTTGTAAAAAGGTGTTTGGTAAATTAGCTGTTATCTGATAGCAATTTGGTACAATATCTTTTCTCAAAAAACTAATTGAAAACGTTGCTTTGAGCAGCTTTTTGAATTTTAGTATTTTGGAGTTACAAAAAGCTGATTAACCAAACACATATATTGATTTTTTAACCAAGTCAAACAGTTAATAGTGGTCATTTAAGTCAAAATTGGCTGATAGGCCAACTATTTACCAATTAGGGCCGATGTTTGCTAACATTTCCTTATTCCTACTTTGCTTCAGGTTGGTGCGCACTACTTTGAAGAGGGAAATGTCCAGTTTGATGCAAAACATGAATGCAAGGATACAACATTAATTCAGGTAAATTCAAAGTAAATTGAAAGGAGAAAGACTGACACTGATCTTGCAGAAAACCTTTTGTGTTCCTCATCACAAACTAAAATTATTAAAATGCCAAAATAAAAATGAAATTTTGGCACTAGAGCAATTTGATTGGAAGATTAGAGATAGTAAGACTTATGAGAAACATAAAAGGATTAATTATGCATAGGATACATCTTTAGTTCAGATAAAGTCAGACTAAATTAAAAGAAGAAAAACTGACAGTGATCTTGTGGAAAACGTTTTTGCATTCCTCATCATGAACTAATATGATTAAAATGCCAAAATAAATACATTCCGTAGGAAAGTTTTGGCACTAGAGCAATTTGATTGGAAGATAGCCTGGGGTAAGAGAAACATAAAAGGACAACTTTTATGTATCTTTCAGGCTGTACTTATTAGATCATGTGCATTGTCTGATTTTAGTTGATTGAATTTAATTGACTTGATCTGTGCCACATTGTTAGTCCCCAGATGATAGTGCCATGTCCTTGGTCCACATTATTCGACAGCATGAAACTGAGTATCTGAATTCTCTTCAGGTTTGCACGCTTTACCTTCTTTCTCTTTCATTCGGCTTTCTTTTAGAGTATCTACTGACATTTTCCTAATTCCTTCACTGGCAGAAATCCTATTTGAATTTGTCAGATACTACTTTCAAGGTATTCCTCAAACTCATAACTTTTTCTCATCTATGTGGAATGGACACACAAGATGTCCTTTGGAAAAATGAGGAATGAAAATGCATAGTTTGGTCTAGAATTTGTTAACAAATTTCCTTCTAAAAATAAAAATATATGTATTTCTAATTATGAGCTTAACTTGTGTAACTATTCGTAAATATTGCAGGACCTCCGAAGGAAGCTTCCTGTGACTCGGACATTATTCCCGTGGCACAGCACTATGCAGTTCAACCTTGTGAAAGACATTACCAAAGAACTTGGACTCGGAAAATAGAAGCATTTGTGTCGTGTTTACGTAAATATTATTGGAACACAACAAGACTTTTTCTTAAATAGGGCAACTTCTCTTTCCCGAGTTTGCGAGTTTACATCCTTCTTCTTCCTTCATCTGGTGTATTTCTTCTAGAGACTTCCATTTTCTTTGTTCCTTGAATTGCTTCATGGATGTGGGTTGTCTTGTCTTGTGGAGATGAAAGTATTTCCTTTGAGTTGAACTATGATACATATATTGTTGAGAATTGTAAAGCATTAAAAGGATTGCCCTTATTTTCAGTGTGTTACACTATATTGATAGCTCATTGGTAGTCGAGTGTATTGCTGCAGGATGAGGAAGTGAAAAATCTGAATATTTTTTAAGGCTACATAATCGGAAAACTTTATGAAGGTAGCATTTCGTTCATTTTGGAAATATTGTCTTCCAAACTCTTCATTAGGAAACAATTTAAAGCAGTTTCTTAATTAATAGAAAGTTTTGGAAAAAGTTTTAGGTTGTTTTTTAATTAATTAAAAATTTATGAACTCGTTTTTTGTGTCGAAAATGCAATTTTGATCCAATTTTTTAAAAATATGACAAATAAAAAAATGAAAATGCGTATATGGTCCGTTTTTAAATCTTGGCCAAATTTAAAAAAAAAAAAAATTAAAGTGTTTACTAGGTCTCATAGAAGGCATGAGCATTTTCAATTTACCAATTTATCTTTAGATGAAACTTACCTTTAGAGTATCTATACTAATACTAGTCTTTTGGTGGTTTTTGTCATACCATGTAGGAAAGAGACTAAGGAGGAGAGAGGAATCAAAGAAATTAAAAAAAAAAAAAAAAAAAAAAAAACGTTGACAAGTGTTCAGAAAAATAAAATAAAATTAAACAGTGCATATTTACACGTCTAGCTGGCGCATCGCACAGCAGGTGCACGAAAGACGCACCTGCTATGTTATTCATTTCACTAGTAATTCACCCGCGCGTTGCAAGGGGAAAAAATTATGTTATTATAAATAAAAATAAAAAAATAGAAAAAATAAAAATATTTTAAATTGTTTAATATAATAATATTTTTGAGCTTCCATTGGTCAAGTATTTATTATTTTTATAGAATACAAAATTATAATTAAAATTTTGTATGGTTAATATAATCTCTAATTATGTACATAATTACATTGATTTGTTCTTAATTGTATTTCATTTATATTATAATTTTCACAATACGAATAATAACTAAGATAATTACATTTAGAAAACAAATTTTAAATTTTGTATGAGTCAATTTAAACTCTAATTGAACACATTTTTTTATATGATTATATAATATATTCTTTATGCACATGTTATTCCATAAACTCAAATGTCATTTTATAAGTCCAAGACCACTTTTTGTGGAGATAATTCAAATGTATTTTTTTTTCTTTTAAAAGTCCTAAGTTTAGACATCTAGAAAAACATTAAAGACCCATACGATATATACATTTATATATATTTAAATTTTTATTTATGGCTTAAATGATTTTTTTTTTTTATTCTGAAGTTCAATAATTGACCCACGGCCCGCAACATTTGCTTTCTTCATCCCTTCTCGCTTCTGCCATTTCTTTGAAGCATTTGAGAGGGAGAAAAATTATATGTAGAAGCTTGCATTAATTGCACTGTTTCAGATATCGAATAGGTTTTCATCGAAAATTTAATTAATATTGTAATTCCAAGAACCACCATAAATAACAAAAGCATATCAAATAGACTTTCATTGTAAAGCCAGAGATTTAATTAATATTGCATCGTTTCATATTTTATATTAATCGGGAATCAGAAACCTTAATCCTAATATCATAACATCTAATAACTCCATTAATTCAATAAATGTAATCCTTTGTTATGAGCGAGAAAAAAGTTAGCTATTTTATTTTTTAAATGTTGTGCTTTTTTTCTTTCTTTTTTTTTTTTTTTTTTTTTTTATAGTAAAAGATGTTGTGGCTATTTTATATTTATAGCTAGTAATAATAATAATGTTGGTAATTAATTGTAACATTAATTATTTCCCAACCATATAGCTTTATTATATGTAAGATTTGTCTGTTGAAAGCAAAAACAAGGGGCCCACAAAAATGCACTATTTGCATGAGTTTAAAACCACAAAAAACCTCCTTCCTGTTATAAATATTATACTTATTATGGACATTATTATATAGTATTGTAACGGTTATGTAATTATTTTCATTATTGCTTCCGTTACGTTACCTTGTATGTATATATATTCTTACAATAGAAAGAATGAAGGAGAGATATCCTCTTTTCTCCCTTATCTATTCTGGATATTCTTTCAACACGTTATCAGCGCTTTGCTCTAACCAAAATCCTCTCGCCTCTCTATAGGGAAAACACGTTCGGCCGAAACCTTCCAACGCATTTTTCGGTGCTGACGGTCTTCGAATCGACGATCGGCTCCGGCCATCTCCTTCGTCTCGTCGAGGAGATCATGGAGGTAGGTCAGCCGCCTCCCAACTCGCTGGAACAAGAGCTGGATTGGGTGCGCAATATTCTGACCGATTTGCGCCGCCGAGGCGTGAACTTGTCTCCATCGGTGATCCGCCGTCTTCAGGCCGGTGAGGGAGACTTGGAGCCGTCCGATGTTGTCTCTAACGTCCAACAACATCATCACCATCATCCATCAATCGATCGACAACCTTTTGCGACAACTTCAATTGTAATTCATCACTGCCTGAAAATTCTGACCGGCGCAGTTTGAAAATTAAATTCGTGAAAAATACTTCTTGAACTCCTTTTGGAATGAAATTTTTCCTAGAGAACCTAAACTTGTGTTATTTGATATCTATAAAAAGTTTTTGTTGAAAATATGCTGCTAGTTAATTTTCTGTCTGGTGTGGTTTTGGGAAAAATTTCGTGAAAAATACTTCTAGACCTTGGATTGGCATGAAATTTTTTATGTACGTTCTAGACTTACTAAACTACATATTTGCAAAATTTTGTGTCAAAATGTGTTACCGTTTCCCCCCAGAAAATTCAGCAATCCAGATAAAAATTTTGAAAATTTCTGCCGTTTTCAGCTTGTATATCTTGTTATTTTGTGATGTTTTCATGCTTGTATGAAACTATGAGATAAAATGAGAGCTTGCTTGGAAAAGTGCTGTTTTTGACTCCCCGAAATATGAATGAATGGGGCCGGCAGCGAACATGTGCTCATTATTCTTCGGCGAACAATACTTCTCTCATTTTATTTTCTAATTTATGAATTAATAAGAATATCTCTTGTCATGTCATGCCTTGTGTACCAAACATGATACTCTTTATTTAATGGATGTGCATGACTTAATTGAGATTTTGGTGTCCAAGACATAAGGGACAATTATATCACATATTGAATATACTTCTCTTTAACTGACAACATTTAGCATATAATATCTTGATTAGGCTCATATAATAGATTTTGTTATTTTTCTTGTTGGCAATTAATTATTTGCTATAGGTCATAGCTATTGAGATTTATCACACAATTTATAAGTGAGACAATAACATGAATTCTCAATATGGTTTTCATTGTTAGGTTGTACATGTCGTTGCTAAACCTTAGCTTGCATGTGATAACAATTAAAGGCCGTGACATGTTTACAGTGCTATTTTCTGCTATAGAAACTCTTTGACATGAGATTTGGGTATATGATATTTAAATTTATAGTACTTTTTTTTTTTGTATATATTTATGTGCCCAGAAGGTATATTAAGGAATTTAATTCTCTAAGTCACCATTGACAATGAATTCTTGACTAAAAATGGTCCACTTACCCCATCAATCCCCGAAGGATTGCTATGACATCACTATGAGTCAGTTTTTTTACCCAGGTCTAACTCACTGCATATCGCAATTATACCCTTTTTTCGCCTAGTACGTGGTTTCAACATAAACATTTCTCTATCTGTGTTACTATTTTAGTACGCAGTTTATTTTCATATATCACCACCATAGCGTACCTCTAAAGGGCTATCACAGAAAACTCCGTCTGTTGTTTAAATACCAAGAGCCCATGATAGGAGATCAATGCATATAATTAGGTACAATGACTGCATACTTTATGAAGATCAGTTCACGACATTAGGGGAAGATATGAGCCCAAATTTAATAGAATGCCAGAATTTTCATGGTGTAATTTTGCATTTCCCCAGATTAAGATGATTATTAGATATAAGCAACTGATATATTGAACTGACTGATGCGAAGACGTGAATTGTCAGTCAGATCGATAGATTGACAATTAGTTTGTCGAGGAAAAACTAAAGCAGATAATAAGAACACACATACGATGTTTACCCAGTTTGATACAGTGTGTATCTACATCTGGGGGGGGACGATCACCGAGCCGTCCAATCCACTAACTCATAATCCAATGTACAAAGGTAGAGAAACAAGAATCTCACCCAAGTGCCACACACAAGGTACGTACCCAGTCTACAAAGGTTTAGTGGATTGTTGAAGACGGAGAGTCACGCATGCAGAAGTCCAACGAAATCCCTTCGGTTGGAGAGCTAACTCTGATGCAGTCCGCTTCAATGACGCAGTCCCACGTTGTTCCCACAACTAAGTGATCTTCGCGTCCTTTCGTTTAAGCAACGATAGTTCTTCTCAAGTTCTTCATCATAATCACCAAGAACATATATTCTTGAGAAGAGGCATAATCAAAGATGTGATCTTCTGTAGCAAGAAATGCCTTTTTTGTCTTACTAAACGTAACCCTAATTCATGATCGAATGAGGGTACTTATACTTCCTTAGAAAAGCCACTCTCCAAAAATATCTTTGATTGTAGATGGTAGGACGATTTGTGAAGAATGCAATCTTAGAGATTCAGTCCATACCTTCCAAAACAGATCCACTGATTTTCTTTCCAAAAGTCTTCAAACCGCGTTTAGTGTTTTTGGAAACTTCTTCCTTTATCAGATCTTCAGTGTCAGTGCGTCTGTTGATGTCTCTGATCGATCAGTCTTTTGTAGAACAAACAGACACCAAGCTAAACCCTATCTTAGTTTGCCATAATAATATTGCCAATCATATGTTGGGGTTTTATGGAGAAAACAAAACACTAACAAACTCCCCCTTTGGCTATTATTTGGCAAAACAACTCGACTAAGATACACCAAAAATTATGGAGAAAGAAGGGAAGATAAAAATCGCATAAAGAGCAAAGTCTGAAATACAAATACAACCCTTAAGTAATAGCAACACACATGTCGTGCTGATCAAAAAATAAAAAATAGCATTTTTCGCAGATCGTGAGGCCATCACAAACACACGCCCAGACAAGACCAGAAGGTACAGAAACAAAAACAAAAAACTCCCCCTGAGTTTAATAACTCCCCCTTTTTTGCCAAAGATAGACAAAGAACCATTCAGGCATTCGAGAGTTCATCACTGTCGGACTTCACATTCTCAGCAGCAGCAGACTCAGTCAGGCTCAGACGAAGTAGAACAATTGCAAGTTCAGTACGTGCTGCTGTGAGCTGCTTCGCAATGATTCCATTAACAGTTTCCAGCTCAGACACCTGAGCCTTCAATCGAAGGGATAGCTGAATGTCCCTCGCATGTGGCGAGTCATCAACATGAGTGTCAGCATCAGAGGATGGAGGCGCAGCCACAGGTGTAACATATCGGATGTGCTTGCAAGTCAATAGACGTGGATCAACAGTGTAGAGCAGAGTTGGACAGATAATCTCGCTTGGCATTGGGACCAGACCCTGCGTTGTCAGAACTCCAAAAATGAGATTAGGATAAGGCAGTCGCGCGTTCTGTTCCCTCGGATGAATCAACGTGAGGAAATGATAGAAGATCCACTTTCCCAGATCAATGGTCATTTTGGTGCCAATTCGAAATAGAAGAGCAGCCAGTTGCTTGCTAACCGTATGGAAATGTGCAGAAGGTAGCCAATTGTGTAAGGCAATACGGTGCAGAATAACATATTTGGAGGTGAGCTTCGAGCTAGACAGAGTATCAACATCACCTGTAGGCCATACAGGAGTCTGACCACTAGTAAGAGTCCTTGCAACTAAATCCCAATCCGTAATCTCTTCCTCATCAACAGCCTTCAGACCATAATACTCATTAATCACATCTGGACCAAAAACATACCATTTTCCTCTGATGAAAATCTGCATGCACCGGGTCCTCGAAAGATTGTCAATTTCTTCATTCAGATTACAGAAGAACTCGTAGGTCAGTATCTTGGAGTAAGGGCAAATAAAAGTGATAGTCTTCATGAGGCCAACTTCACTGAGCAACGGCAGAATGTCACAGACAGAATTCAACTGATTTTCATCAACCGATCGCTGAACTATAAGTTCCCGTCGAACCATCGTAGACCATTTTCCTTGAGCTCTAGCAGAAACAAACTGAGGTTTGTAAATCGATGTGTCAGGGTTGTCCGAAGCAGCTTGGACATCAGGAGTAACACTCCTTCCTCTCGACCTTATAGTTGGTTTCATCTTTCTGGTAGAGGTGGTGGAGACCGTAGCAGGTGCCTTGTTCTTGACAGATGATCGCAGAGTTTTGAAAACCTGTTGAATAGGTGGATCACTTTCAGCCTTGACGGATTCAGCAGATCACCTTCTTTTCTCAGGTTGAACCATATCAAGATTATCATTACCGGTTTCAACTGCTACTCTCTCAGGAATCCCTTTGCGCTTTGATTTTCTTGTCTCTCTGGATGGAGAATGATTGGTTGGGCTTGGTGAAACCGAGTGGCTTGTTTCTGACACAGGAGCAGACGAAGAGCCAAGAAGTTTGGAGACTTCTCGAATTTTGAAGGTAGTCGAGTCTGGATGTGCTGTTGCTTCCACTGTAAGAGGTCCAGACAACTGAGCTTGAGGACCATAAACTTCAGCCAGTATCTTCTCATCATCACTGTCAAGCTGTACAGGTCATCAGGGTGAATGACTCTATAAGGTTGTGGTACAGAAGCAGATGGTAAACGGGCAAAGTGACAGATGTGGTCAAGGCTCTCAGCCAGAGAGGTTGAAGTATAAACAGGAACTCCATCAATTTGATCAAAGGAACGAGGGCTTGAGAGTTGAGAGTCTGGCAGCCTCAATTTCGGTCGACACCTTAGGAGAAACATCTACTGGGCAAACTTCAACCGGTGACTTAGCAACATCAGATGTGGGTAAAACAGGAATAGCAGATCGTGCAACATCAGCAGAGTACACAACTAGACTCAAATTGTCTACCTTATCATCAGAATCACTGTTAGGGACAACTATTGCAGACTCCAAATTTTTAGAAGATACACGAAAAGGATCATCAGACACAGAGGATTTCTCAGACAGAAAAACATTCTCATTATCGGATTGAACAACAGGCAGAGCAGATTCAATAGCATCAGAAATTAAATCATCAGGCTTATCATGAGATATCTCAATAGGGGCTTCAGAAGTATTAGACCTGTTACAAAGAATCTCGATACGGTGTGTGGCTTCTTTCTGTGCAGTTTGAAGATAGAGAGGTTGAGCTGCTACCCGTCGACGCGAGACTTCTTCGGATTCCAGAGCCCTTTGGGCGAAATATTGGAGGAAAGCCCCAGCACGGTTACCATCTTCAGGCTCAGGAATGGACGCAGGGCTAACATCATCACTCGCGTCGGAGGCTAACATCAAGAGGTCACTTGTGTCTTCGTCGGACCAATCCGCATAGAACTCTGGGTAATCTGAGAACACTATGACCACGATTTCGTCACGGAGATCAGGGTCAAGCTTCAACTTCTTTTTCATAGCGAGTTGGAGAAGAGTTTTGACATGCTTCGTGGCTGTTTCTGGTGAATGAACTTTTCTTCCCAGCTTGATGATAATATTTCTCACTGCATCCGCCATTGTTGTGCGATTTGGGAAAACAGAGAGAAACCCTAGGTGTAGAATCAGTAAGCAAATAACAGAGAGATAAATAGTATTTAGAACTCTTCCTCCAAAGTAAAAGAGACCCGATCAAATATATAATCCCAAGGGTGATGAACACTATTTAATGCGGTTGTCAGAATGCATGCAGCGGATGTGATTGACGCAACGGTATAGCTCCTTTTTAGGGATTAAACGGATGATTTGAATTTTGAAAGAGGCGAATTAATTTTGGTAACGAAGGTTAAGATAATATCTTAACATAAACAGAAGAGAGATTAAAAAGGAAGTCAAATATGTACTTTTGACCCGTGATTGTGACCACCATACACTCTCCTTCTGTTTTATCATCCTGCCTTATTGATCAATCCTGCAGATTCCCAGAGCAGATATGAGAATCTCAAACCGATTTGCGTCCAGAGGCTTAGTCAGTATGTCAGCCAATTGCTTATCTGATTGAATATATTCCAATTCTATCTCCTTTGACTCTACCAAGTCTCTAATATAATGATGCCTTATATCAATATGCTTCGTTCTGGAGTGTTGAACTGGGTTCTTTGAAATATTTATAGCACTGACATTGTCACAGTAGAGTGTCATAGTCCTTTGTGTGATACCATAATCTAGAAGCATTTGCTTCATCCAGACCTATTCTGCCACTGCAGTACTTAGAGAGATTGAGTTCTTCTTCTTGCTTAGCCATGAGACTAAATTCTTTCCAACAAAGAAGCATCCACCTGATGTAATTTTTCTGTCATCTATGTTATCTGCCCAATCAGCATCACAATACGCACTTAGACTGAGTTCACTGTCCTTGGAGTACCATAACCCATACTGAATTGTGCCCTTGATGTATTTCAAGATCCGTTTAGCAGCTATCAAACGTGACTCTTTGGGATCGGATTGATATCTTGCACACATCCCAACACTGAACATAATATCTGGTCGACTTGCGGTCAAATATAGCAGACTTCCAATTAGGCTTCGATAGACCGTATTATCAACTGATGCGCCAGTATCATCTTTTGACACCTTTGTTGAAGTGGAGATAGGGGTTCTGGGAGTTTTACATGAATCCAGATCAAATTTTTTGACCAAATTTTTGGCATATTTTTCTTGTGAGATAAAGTAGCCTTCAGTACACTGTTTGACTTGAAGTCCTAAGAAATAAGTCAGTTGACCTACCATGGACATTTCAAATTCTTCCTTCATAACCTTCACTAAGTCATCAATATATTTCTGTAGAGTAGATCCGAAGACAATATCATCTACATAAATCTGAGCTATAGTCACATGACTTCCAATGGTTTTAACAAACAAGGTCTTGTCAACACTCCCTCGGCTATACCCATGATGTAGCAGATACTGTGTCAGTCGTTCGTACCATGCCCTTGGAGCTTGTTTAAGCCCATAGAGAGCTTTTATAAGCTTGTAGACATGCGTCGGATGAACTGGGCCTTCAACACCTTTAGGTTGTGCTACATAGATATCTTCATGCAGATACCCGTTCAGAAATGCTGTCTTAACATCCATCTGAAACAGTGTGAAACCCAGAATACATGCAACTGCCAATAGAATTCTGATTGACTCCAATCTTGCAACATGAGCAAACGTTTCATCATAGTCAATACCCTCAATTTGTGTATATCCTTGAGCAACCAACCGAGCTTTGTTTCTTGCAATATTTCCAGCTTCATCAATTTTATTTTTGAAGATCCACTTTGTTCCGATTATGTTAACACGGTCAGGCCTTGGTACTAGATCCCACACATGATTGCGGTCAAAATGATGTAGCTCCTCTTGCATAGCCTTAATCTATAGATCATCCTACAAGGCTTCCTTCACATTTTTTGGTTCTATTTTTGAGGTGTAGCAGGCAAGTACGGAAGATTGCTCCTCATCCGACTTCTGGTGTTCATTCCATCTGATGGATTACCAATTATGTTGTCTGGTGGATGATTTTTCTGTGTTCTGGTGGGCTTATTCTTACCATCACCATCCGAGAGAAAGTTCTCATGTTCTGGGCTTTCTTTATCTTCTTCTTATGAGTCATGTGTGTCGGGAAGTTTGGTTTTTTCAGCTGTTTCTAACGACTCACTGATAGGAAGGTCTGTCTCTGGATCAATCACCGATGTTTCATCTGATTCTCCTGGGTTATCATCGATAACAACATTCACTGATTCCATGACTGATTGAGTTCGTTTGTTGTAAACTCTATAAGCTCGACTGTTTGGAGAGTATCAAAGAAAGATGCCCTCGTTATTCTTATTTCTGTGTCGAACGGGAATGGTTGACTCTTTTGGAACAGCAGCATGTTTATTGGCGCCAAAGGGCAAAGGAGCACTGGTGGAAGGACGGCGATATAAATACAAAGTATTTTCATAATGCTGTAAGGCGCGTAGGAGGCGGAATAGGGTTGTGAGATTGAGGAGGGAGGATAATACTATGGCTGAGGGGGTCGAGGAGGTGGGAACCGTAATGCTTGACTATTATTGGGGGTTGTTTACGTCGCAGCCGGGGGATGACTCTGAAGTTATTGCATTTCTTTCTTCACTTGTGACACCTTTGGAAAATGAAGTTTTGGAACGGCCGGTAAGCATGGAGGAGGTGCGTAAGGCGGGTGTTTGCTATGCATCCGGATAAGTCACCGGGGCCGGATGGCTTTGGGCCGGGGTTTTTCCAGCATTTCTGGAACACCATTGGAGGGGAGGTAACACAATTTTGCCGACGATTTATGGAGACGACAACACTCTCGGATAAAGCTAATGATACATTAATTGTATTGATTCCAAAGAAACCCATGCCAGAGTCAATGAAGGACCTGCGGCCGATTGCTTTGTGCAACGTTTTGTATAAGGTTGCAGCCAAGGTATGTGCGAACTGGATGAAACCCCTTCTGGAAAATATTATTGCCAAGGCTCAGAGTGCTTTCGTACCTGGGCGCCTAATAACTGATAATATAATGTTAGCGTTTGAGGTACACCATTATCTGAAGAGGAAAACACAGGGCTGTGATGGGGTAGCTGCGTTGAAGATTGACATGTCTAAAGCTTATGATAGATTTGAGTGGAGGTTCCTACGTGCGGTGATGTTGAGACTGGATTTCAGTGATAAATGGGTAAATATCATCATGGAGACAGTGAGTGGTGTAAAGTACCACATTTTGCACGAACAGAGACAGTTAGGGCCGATAGTGCCAGGCCGAGGGCTACGCCAGGGTGACCCGTTATCCCCATACATGTTCTTGATGGTTGTGGAGGGATTGAGTGCTTTAATTGATGACCGAATGAGGAGGAATGCTGCATGGAGTGCGGGTAGCAAGGGGGCACCAGTGATATCTCACCTTTTGTTCGCAGACGATTGTTTCCTCTTTATGCGGGCGGACACCGTGGAGAGTATTAATATGAAAGATGTTCTGGATGTATATGCAGAGGCTTCGGGGCAGGTGGTTAATTTTGATAAGTCCATGGTGTGCTTTAGTAGTAATACAAGTCAGGCAGGTAAAAATGCAGTAATGAACACTCTAGGAGTCCGACAGGGAGACACAACGGAGAGATATTTGGGGTTGCCATCATTAGTTGGGAGGAACAAAAAATCTATTCTGGGGTTTGTTAAGGACCGTGTTTTGGCACGGGTCAGAGGCTGGAATACCAGGTTCCTGTCTAGGGCTGGCCGGGAAGTACTCCTGAAGAATGTGCTGCATGCAAGCTTTACCTAGTTATGCCATGATGGTTTTCTCATTACATGTGACTTTGTGTAGGGAGATTGAAGTTATCCTAAATCAGTATTGGTGGACAGGGAAGGTAGTCGGGAATAATGGAATACGGTGGAAGGCTTGGAGTGCGTTATGTAGACCCAAGTCTAAGGGTGGACTGGGGTACATGACTCTGAGAGAGATGAATTTGGCACTTCTAGGCAAGCAGGCTTGGCGCCTTCTAACGAGGCCGAACTCGTTGGTTGCCCGGGTCTATAAAAGCAGGTATTACCCGCGTTTGAGCTTTATGGAAGCGGGGGTTGGCCATAATCCATCATACATATGGCGAAGTATTGTTGAGGCAAATAATGCAATCAAACAGTGGTACCGACGGAGCATTGGAGACGGGAGGACTACGAGTATTGGAGAAGCACCGTGGTTGGTGATGGCGGAGGATCCATATGTGACAACACACTTGCATGAAACCGTTAGAGTGGCCCCGGTAAGCTCGTTAATGAATGGTGCTGAGACTGGTTGGGATCGTGCTTGTGTCTTGGATCTCTTTAATGTCAGGGATGCAAGCTATATTCTAAATATGCCGGTAAGTGTTCGACGCCCTCGGGATACTTGGGTATGGAAGGGGGAATCAATGGGTGTCTATACAGTGAGATCGGGATATAGGTTGCTTGTGGGTGAGTGTCAGTCTAATCGTCCGTGGAACATTATTTGGAATTTGCAGGTGCCGGCTAGGGTGAAGGTGTTTGCATGGCAGTTTGCTAATAGTATACTGCCAACGAGGGAGGCTCTTGCGGCGAAACGGGTGGCCTGTATGGTTGTTTTCCATATGTGTGGAGGGGCGGATGAGACGGACTCGCATTTGTTTCGGGATTGTCTCCATGCCCGAGCAGTCTGGATTGCGGTTCAGTTGCCAACACTAACGCATGGCCAAGGTAATTTGATAGATTGGTTTTTTGAGCTGTTAACATACCTGAGTGATGATAAGAAATGCAAGTTTGTAATGTTGTGTTGGGCATTATGGACTAGCAGAAATGCAAGTGTTTGACGAGGTGTGCAGTTTGATAAGGACCAAGTCTCACGGCAGGCGTTGTGTTACTGGCATAATTGGAGGGGGGTGCAGGAGGATGTTGCAGGGCACCGGGGGAATCAGGTAGGGGATTCGCGGTGGGTGCCACCAGGAACCGGGAGGATTAAGTTGAATACTGACGCCGCTTTTGACACCGTTCGGAATAGAATGGGGATGGGGTGGGTGTTGCGAGATGATTAGGGACAGTTTATGGCGGCGAAAAGTGTTTGTGTACCGGGCCGGTTTAGTGTTGTGGAGGCCGAAGTGATGTGCGTGCGTGAAGCTTTGACTTGGTTGCATAGTACGGGAATGGGGGATGTGGATGTGGAGACAGATTCACAACTATGTATTAATGCTCTGAACTCTGATTCTTTTTTTACTGCTTTTGGTTTTTTAGTAGATGATGTAAAGCATGTAGTCTCTTTGTTGAATGGGGTTAGCTTTAGATATGCCAGGCGATCTGCGAATCGTGCGGCCCATGTCCTAGCTAGGGAAGCCGTTTCTGTGTCAGGTCCCGGGGAGTGGTTAGAGGAACCCCCCAGTTATCTTGTGTTGATTGTTGCGAGTGATTTAATGAATTGAGTCACGTTTTTCAAAAAACAAAACATATTATATTGAGGCAATGAAATTAAAAAACCAATAAATGACATACTATTATAGATCATTAAGATTCCAACATCAATTTTATTCATCTCTGACGATATTTCGATGGCTAGAACCGTCGGCAATCGCTGTCTACCAAAAATGACTACTAGTTGGTCAAAATATTAATAAATTGATTTTCTAGACTTCATTATCTTCCAAATGTCTTCTAAAATTATGTTTCTTATAAATTATTAATAATTGATACTCTAAATATTAATAAATTTTCTCCCCCTTATATTTTTACTCATAATCTTCCACCAGAAACCAATTCACTTCTTTCTTATACTTTTTTTGTTTTTAAATATTATTGTCTTACAATGAAGACGTTCCCGTCTCAATTCCCAACATAGAAGTGTTAAGGTAGGTCAAAGCTAACGGATAGTTACGCCATAAATCGGGGTCACCTTACAAGGTAAATTTCACAATTTTAGAATTGCATATTAACAATCAATGATTTTTATTTTTTATTTTTAAATTATTGAAAACAATTTAGTGTATAAATATTTAGTTCTGTAATTGTAAATATAGAGTTATGAAATTGTGAATATAGAGTTCAAAAATTGTGAATATTGAGTTCTAAAATTGGGAATATAGAGTTCAAAAATTGTGAATATAGAGTTATGTAATTGTGAATATCAACTTCTGTAATTTTGTATATTGAGATATAAAATTGTGAATATTCAGTTTTAATATTGTGAATATAGAGTTTAAAAATTATAAATATAAAATTAAAAAATTGTGAATATAACCTGGATCCACCGTACAAGATAGACACGGGTTCACAACATAATTTGCCCAAAGCTAAAAAATTGGGCCTGAATAGCAAATAAACTGGGCCTGGCCCGTATAGACTCTATCACTCTGGCATGTTCAAGAAACAACAGCCACCGCCTGGAATAATCTGGACTGTTCATCTTGGCGGGGATGAATTTAAGTGGCTAAGCAAAACGCGAAGACTATCGCGAAAGTACCAGAAACCTCATCGCTAACGTATAAATACCGAATAGGTCCCTTCTTCCCCAATTCAAACCAGATTGAGCAGAGAATCAAAGAGAGCCATTATCGACCACAACAAGCTTTTCCGACGCATACAGTTAATCAATACTTACCGAAAATGTCGCTCATTCCGAGACTCTTCGGCGGCCGGAGAAACGGCAACGTGTCCGACGATCCCTTCTCCCTCGACGTTTGGGACTTGTCTTTCCCATTTTCTGCTTCCGGCGAGACGTCGGCGTTCGTCAACACTCGCGTCGACTGGAAGGAGACGCCGGAGGCTCACGTGTTCAAGGCGGACGTCCCCGGCCTGAAGAAGGAGGAAGTGAAGGTCGAGATCGAAGACGATCGGATTCTTCAGATCTGCGGGGAGAGGAACGTGGAGAAGGAAGAGAAGAACGAGGCCTGGCATCGAATGGAACGCAGTAGCGGGAAGTTCATGAGGCGGTTCAGGTTGCCGGAGAACGCGAAGATGGAAGAGATAAAGGCGTCGATGGAAAACGGAGTGCTCACGGTCACCATTCCTAAGGCGGAAGTGAAGAAGCCTGATGTCAAGTCCATTGAAATCTCTGGTTAGACAATTCATTTTCCGAATTCCGATCCCGTGTTTATGGAAATCAATACTGCATTATTACACTGAAAAATAAATGTGAATTCCCCCTTGTGTGTTGTATAGTTTGTATGGTGTAAGTTGCTGGAAAAGTGTTTGAAGTGAATAAATTGAATGTTTTTGTTTGTGTTTAGTGTAGGGGTGGGAATCTCAATTTGGGTTATCCCATCTGAACAATTTTGTTTTGGTTTTATAAATTAAATTTTTTCAATCTATTACAAATGTAGTATTTGTTCATACTTATTAATTTTCCATTTAATGTACCGAAAATAATAATAGAAATAATTACATAACCGTTACAATACTATATAATAATAACCATAATAAGTATAATATTTATAAGAGTTAATTTCAGCAATGGTCCTCCGATTATATTTATTTTTCAAAATTAATTCCCGACTTTTAATTTAGACATTTTACATCTATTGACTTTCAATTTCTTTTCAAGTGAGGTCTTTTCGTCAAATTACAGTAAAATGGACTTTAAATGAAAGGGTAAAGTCGTCATTTCATCTGCTTAATATATAATTCTTTGTAATTCTTTCTTGTTTACGCGACTTCGGGCATTAGATTCACTTAATTGCTTAATCCCTAATGAAATTTTGTTCTTCCAGTGGATTTAATGATTAAGCAATTAAGTGAATCTGATGTCCAAAGTCGCGCATATAAGGGAGAAATACGAACAATTATACATTAGGCAGATGAAATGGTTACTTTACCCTTTCATTTAAAATCTAATTTACCGTGAATCTGATGTCCAAAGTCGCGCATATAAGGGAGAAATACGAACAATTATACATTAGGCAGATGAAATGGTTACTTTACCCTTTCATTTAAAATCTAATTTACCGTAATCTAATGAAAGGACCTCAATTGGAAAGAAATTGAAAGTCAAGAGATGTAAAGTGTCTAAATTAAAAGTTGAGGACTAATTTTAATTTGAAAAATCAATATAGTCGGGAGACCATTGCTGGAATTAATTCTATTTATAATTAGCACTCCCTCTTGAACATTATTTGATCACGATCTTGTCCCGTAAAAAACTTGCTAGGAAAATCCAATGGGAAAAACCTAGACAAGAAAAGAGTACAATAGAAAATATATTGACGCCTCATTAAAAACTTCACTAGGAAAACCACTTGGGACAAACCAGTTGAAGAAAAGAATTCATGATATATGTAAAAACATATATTGTATTGGGCGCCTCATTAAAAACCTTAACTTAAGAAAACCCAGTAGGAAAAACTTAGTTAAGGGAAAAGAAATACAATCATAAGCCTTCAGGGCATAATTTGCACAATCTTCAGGATTTTGAGGTTTGTTCATTTTAAGCAATTATTTTGTAATTTTTTCCCATTGTCATTAGTATAACATACTCATGCCTCGTTAAAAACCTCATTAGAACAACTCAGTGGAAAAAATTAGTTTGATATATGTGTATTCTTGTTTTAGATTAGCTGACTCATTAAAAACCTTAGATTTAAGGAGAAAAAAAAAACTCCAAAAAAATCCTGTGAAAAAAAACTTAACTAAGGATAAAGAGTACAACCGTTAGTCATCAATCTTCAAGATTGTTTCATGTAAAATTATACTCCCCCACCAAAAAATCTTGATGTCCTATACATTAAACTTTCAAAATGTATAGAGGAATTTTTTTAAATAAATATGTACAATTGTCAATGGAACGAATATACTTTATAATAAGTATATTCGGAGGACCATTGCTGAAATTAACTCTTATAAATATTATACTTATTATGGTTATTATTATATAGTATTGTAACGGTTATGTAATTATTTCTATTATTATTTTCGGTACATTAAATGGAAAATTAATATGTATGAACAAATACTACATTTGTAATAGATTGAAAAAATTTAATTTATAAAACCAAAACAAAATTGTTCAGTTGGGATAACCCAAATTGAGATTCCCACCCCTACACTAAACACAAACAAAAACATTCAATTTATTCACTTCAAACACTTTTCCAGCAACTTACACCATACAAACTATACAACACACAAGGGGGAATTCACATTTATTTTTCAGTGTAATAATGCAGTATTGATTTCCATAAACACGGGATCGGAATTCGGAAAATGAATTGTCTAACCAGAGATTTCAATGGACTTGACATCAGGCTTCTTCACTTCCGCCTTAGGAATGGTGACCGTGAGCACTCCGTTTTCCATCGACGCCTTTATCTCTTCCATCTTCGCGTTCTCCGGCAACCTGAACCGCCTCATGAACTTCCCGCTACTGCGTTCCATTCGATGCCAGGCCTCGTTCTTCTCTTCCTTCTCCACGTTCCTCTCCCCGCAGATCTGAAGAATCCGATCGTCTTCGATCTCGACCTTCACTTCCTCCTTCTTCAGGCCGGGGACGTCCGCCTTGAACACGTGAGCCTCCGGCGTCTCCTTCCAGTCGACGCGAGTGTTGACGAACGCCGACGTCTCGCCGTAAGCAGAAAATGGGAAAGACAAGTCCCAAACGTCGAGGGAGAAGGGATCGTCGGACACGTTGCCGTTTCTCCGGCCGCCGAAGAGTCTCGGAATGAGCGACATTTTTGGTAAGTATTGACTAACTGTATGCGTTGGAAAAGCTTGTTGTGGTCGATAATGGCTCTCTTTGATTCTCTGCTCAATCTGGTTTGAATTGGGGAAGAAGGGACCTATTCGGTATTTATACATTAGCGATGAGGTTTCTGGTACTTTCGCGATAGTCTTCGCGTTTTGCTTAGCCAGTTAAATTCATCCCCGCCAAGATGAACAGTCCAGATTATTCCAGGCGGTGGCTGTTGTTTCTTGAACATGCCAGAGTGATAGAGTCTATACGCAATCATTATTGTGTGGACCATGATCTACACAAGTTGTGTAGATCATATTTTGTCTACTGTAAAATAATGTACATTTAATACAATAATAATGTACATTCAATACAAAAATAATGTACATTGTATTCAGGGGATATACATTATTTTTGTTCTGAGTGTACATTATATTGTATAATGTACATTCAGTACAAAAATAATGTACATTTAGTATAATAAAAATGTACTTTTTGTTATGGTGCACATAACATTGTGTGGACCATGGTCCATACAATAATTTGTCGTCTATACGGGACAGGCCCAGTTTATTTGCTATTCAAGCCCAATTCTTTAGCTATATTGTGGACTATCTAGTGGATCCAAGTTATATTTATAACTTTTTAATTTTATATTCACAATTTTTGAATTCTATATTCACAATATTATAACTGAATATTCACAACTTTAAATTTTAATAGACAAAATTACAGAACTTGGTAGTCACAATTACATAATTCTATATTCACAATTTTAGAACTCTATATTCACAATTATAAAACTAAATATTTACACACTAAGTTGTTTTTAATATTTTTTTTGAATCATTGGTTGTGAATATGCAATTCTAAAATTGTAAATATATAATTAAAAAAAATTGTGAATATAACTTGGATTCACCTTGTAAGGTGAACACCGATCTATAGCGTAACTATCCGTTAGCTTTGACCTACCTTAACACCTTCTATGTTGGGAATTGAGACGGGATCATCTTCATTATAAGACAATAATATTTTATTTTTTTTTTTTTAAAAAAAAAAAAGTGAATTGGTTCCTGGTGAAAGATTATGAGTAAAAATATAAGGGGGAGAAAATTTATTAATATTTAGAGTATCAATTATAATAATTTTTAAGTAAGAAACATAATTTTAAATGACATTTGGAAGAGAATGAAGTCTAGAAAATCAATTTATTAATATTTAGACCAACTAGTCATCTCTGGTAGACGGTTCTGGTCATCGAATTATCGTTGGAGATGAATAAAATTAATGTCGAAACTTTAATGATCTGTAATAGTATGTCATTTATCAATTTTTTTTTTATTTTATTGCCTCAATATAATAGGTTAAGTAATGTAATTGCATTTTTAAAAGTTTAAGAAGCTAATTGACTTTTAAAGTAAAGTTTAAGGAGTTATTTGACCCTGTTTATATAAAAAGAGAGAAATCTCAATGCGAAGGAGCTCTCAAGTAAATAAATGGGGTAAAATCTCATCATTGATTTAGGCAAAATCAACCGTGCAGAATAATAAAAAATTAAAAAAAAAATTGTAATGTCATTATTGTAATTTAGTGCGTAACTTAGAACTTAAGGTGCATAAAATCTCATGTAAAATCTATTCCAATTTTTTTAAAAAAATTAAATTATTAATTTCTATAAGAAAGGTCTTAGAAATTGGCATAATGGTTGAACATATACTACGAATATGTTAGAGTATATTAAAAAATATACAATATAAAATTTAACATTCACTTTGGTCAAATAATTAGATCGACTAAATACATAGTATTCAAAGTTACACCAAAGATTACAAATAAGGAACCTTCGAAATCATTTTCTTAATTTAAAAAAAAAATTATGTTAAGTTTTTTTTTTTCATTTTTTTTAATTTAATTAATCTTCTTTTGATTATTTATAACAAGACTCAATATTTCAATTATGCTTTTGCATTATTGGGAATGATTTAAGTCATTATTGTATTAATATTTTTTGTCTATATTTCTATAATGGTACAATTGTATAATACTTTACAAATAATGTACTATTATTTTTTTATCGGACAAAATTATTCTTACACTATTGTCAGCCCTGTTTGACCTAACTACAAAATTATTGATCATAAATACAATTATACCTGGACTCTAATCGGTAGGATCATTGTCCAAAGAATTGACAATATCATTCTCATAATTTTATCAATACATGAAAACTTATAATGAAATTAATAAATTAATTTTTACTATATCAAAAATAATAATATCTATTGTAATCATATATATTTCGAATTGTTTATCATCATCCTTTATTGACAAAAAATTGTAACAATTGTCATTAGCAAACTTTGTTAGGAATATTTTGCATTTAAATTTTGATGATAGTAATAGTTAGGAATTTTAGTCCCCCCATTTCTTTTATATTCTAGAATTTATGCTCAAACGAAGTTAAATGTTGATTGCGAGAGTATTTTTCTATATTTTAAGAGTTCATTGTTGTTGGAACGACATGTTGTGTTAGTGTACACTTTAACTGTTTTCTATGAATT